ACGACCTTTGTTAATTCTCAGCTGATTGTCGGGTCCATTGAAGAGGTTATCAGGCGTGAGATTGTCTCCAGATTCGTGGTTCGAAACCAACCTGTTAGTCTCAGAGAACACGCCACCTTGTTCCTTTGTGATCAAGTTTAGGGCTCAGGGTTTGGGCTTAGGGTTCGGCCTTGTCTGGGGACTTGCGTGGTAGCTGACGACCGCCAATCCATGGTGCTGGCTCCGTTGCTCTGATGCTTGCGATCAGCTTCCGATCTGACACCGGTCGTTGGAGCCACAGTGTATGCTAAACGTTACCAAAAGCCTTAGAAGCACCACAATGCCAAAGAGCCCCAAGAGCCTTAAACCTAAATCCAAGATTCCACCTATTCTTTAAGAGCCCTAAGCCCTAACACCCTGAGTTTCTAGTTCAGTAACACGACCAGCAAGTTCGACCCACGTCCCAAGCCCGATAAACACTACCCATTTCCGCTTGACTTGTGTCCAACACGATGGCCTCGGCTCCTTTGCAGCATCTGCTGAATGGTCGAATAGTCTTGTGCATGATGAAAATGATGATGATGATGATGATGATGATGAGGATCATGCGATGCTGGTGATGATGAGGACGGTGATCTTTGGACGACGACGACGACTACTACTTACTACTACTATTACTACTATTACTACTACTGCTACTACTACTACGACTACTACTACTATTACTACTACTACTACTACTACTACTACTACTACTACTACTACTACTACTACTACTACTACTACCACTACTACTACTACTACTACTACCACCACTACTACTACTACTACTACTACTACTACTACTGCTACTGCTACTACTACTACTACTACTACTACTACTACTACTACTACTACTACTACTACTACTACTACTGCCTCCTCCTCCTCCTCCAGCTCCTATTTTACCGGTGCCTGCCCTGCGCCACATGATCCATTACTGAGGTTATTGAAATGATCGGCTGTGTGAAGATATCTGGACTTAGGTTGCCTGAAAAGCATCCGAAAATATCGCCAAAAAATGAAACAGGGTACATGGGAGGACTTAATCAGTTATTTGTACTACCTCCGTGGCCTTTTCGGGTCTCACTTACAAACAGTCGTTTTACCTACCGGTCCCTCATGTCATACTCAGAAGAGGATTCGCAAACACGTCGAGGACATACTGCTATGCCCCAGGCCAGCCCTAACTACTCGCAGCTCATCCGCGACACTGATACTTGGCCTGGGTTTGTGGGGTTGAAGCTTGCGCTAGCCATGGCATTGGAGGGCTAGCTTCGCTCGGGGTTGCAGTGTTTGGGTCTGGGTTGTAGGGAGCAGTAGCGGGAGCAGTACAGCGGAAGCGTTGCTTGACATTTCTTTAGGTCAGGTCAGATAGTTGGGTGTGGAGGATGCCAGGAACTCTAGATGTCTGCCGACGTCCAGGCCATAGGACCTAGGACTTAACTCATCTTGGGCTCACACGAGACCTGCGCCATGGATTCAAGTACTGCCGCTTGTTGAATCCGAACTCATCGAGTCGTAACAGTGCGCACGAGTCTATATGTCACGGTGTCCCTGATGGAATGAATATATTATGGGATTGTGATCATGGGCTCCCGAACTACCATCCGATCAGCCTGCCCTAAAGGCCCCCGGAATTTGTGTTCGCCCAGGATTTTCTGCTCAAAGAAGCGAGGAAGTTTCCATCAGATCATGTCCGGCGCCTCGCGCAAATGTTGAATGCCGAGGGCTCAGACAACGGGGCTTGAACTTGATGAACAGCCTAATCCCAGTATAGAAGTTCTTGGCGTACTTTTTCGTTGTCCCTAAGCTACTCTCGTTTTAGAGCTCGCCATGTCACACCACCAAGCAGTTTGTCAACCGTTGCATTCTTCTTCGTTATGTAGGCCCAGCCTAGAAGGACCCGAGACGAGCAAAGGGCTTCGGGGGGCGTGGGGGGGGGGGGGTTTTATTTTTTTTTTTTTTAAGGCTTATTTTTTTTTTTTTTATTTTTTTTTTTTATTTTTGTTTTTTTTTTTTTTTTTTTTTTTTTTTTTTTTAAGGCAGCTTTGGAAGCTTTTATTTTTTTTTTTTATATTTATTTTTTTTATTTTTTTTTTTTTTTTTTTTTTTTTTTTTTTTTTTTTTTTGTTTTTATTTTTTTTTTTTTTTTTTTTTTTTGTTTTTTTTTTTTTTTTCTTTTTTTGGTTTTGTTATTTTTAGTTTTTTTTAGTTTTTTTTTGTTTTTTTTTTTGTTTTTTTTTTTATTTTTTTTTTTTTTTTTTTTTTTTTTTTTTTTTTTTTTTTTTTTTTTTTTTTTTTTTTTTTTTTTTTTTTTTTTTTTTTTTTTTTTTTATTTTTTTTTTTTTTTTTTTTTTTTTTTTTTTTTTTTTTTTTTTTTTTTTTTTTTTTTTTTTTTTTTTTTTTTTTTTTTTTTTTTTATTATTTTTTTTTTTTTTTTTTTTTTTTTTTTTTTTTTTTTTTTTTTTTTTTTTTTTTTTTTTTTTTTTTTTTTTTTTTTTTTTTTTTTTTTTTTTTTTTTTTTTTTTTTTTTTTTTTTTTTTTTTTTTTTTTTTTTTTTTTTGTTTTTTTTTTTTATTTAGGACGCTTGGTTCTTGTCTTGGAATGGTTTTTGGAGACGCCCGGGAAAGATTGAGCGGATTACGAGGGTATTATCCGGGTGCTTTGGTTCACAGGCACCTCATGTTGCACATGATTAATACTTCCGCCTTCATTGCTTCTAATACATGTGGTTGCCATGTAGAATCAGGTTGACAAAGTACAAGTCATGGATTCGGGGGTCTGGGGCATTTTCCGTATCCACTAAAGCAGCCTTTCGCTACGGTACATGTCTTTTTTCTTTTGTTTTTTTTTTTTTTTTTTTTTTTTTTTTTTTTTTTTTTTTTTTTTTTTTTTTTTTTTTTTTTTTTCTTTTTTTGTATTGTCACCAATTGCAGACATGGTGTGCAGCACGTGTCAGGCTTAGACATTACATCCTTCCTCGCAGCATCAATGCGTTTGACGCGCTGATGTTACGTTACAGCATTCGCACTTAATGCGGTCAACACCGTCTACTCATCCTATCTGACTCCTTGTTGGTCACCCTGAGCACTTCAAGATGCAAGACCTCAGCAGTGGTCAAGATGTCATATTTCACCCTAGATTGTCCTCGACCTTCTGATGTGAAGGTAGTTGTCCTTAATCTTCCCTATTGCGTGTTTGTGACCGTCATATGACCCTCTTGTGCTGAGGGTTTTTGGCCCAAAACTTCCTTTGGCTTTGGGAAGCTTGGTCCCAACCTCGCGTTCTTTTGTAGCCGCAGTGCTGTGTCTTTACAAATCCGCTGTTGTAACTCGCTCCAAGATTATGTTGTGGCGTGGTGCAAACGGCACGAAGCTTGAGTTTGATTTGGAAGCTGGGCCATTTCCACCTTTGAAGACATGATCCTTTGCCCTTTCTTAATTTGCGCCTCACCGCTGAAACCAAAGGCAATGTTTCGCAAACATCATTTTGTCGATTCGCCATTGCTCTCTGGCAACCAGGGAAAGCTCGCGTTGCTCAAGGTGGGGCGTTGCAATATGCATCGTGTATACGGTTCAGGGGTCTGATAACACGGATCCCGAAACTTTTTTGACAGGAAGCCGTGATTCCGTAAGCGTGCCTAGTAACTATTCAGTGACTTGCCGTGTACAGGGCAAGAAGGCCCGGACGATATATACTTTCCATTCACAGCGGTTTCAGGATACGGATTCGCTACTTGTGTTTCGCATGTCTTGTCCAGTTAACCTAACTCTAAGGGAGCATTCCTCCTCGACGCCTCGCGCAGTGGAAGATCTCACCTTAATCAGCATCCCGCCCCGACGTCCTATTTCAAAGGATGTGATGCGCCAGTCTTTGTAGATAGCGCCCACAGTTTTTTGTCCATGAAGCTGCTTGGGTATTCAGGTTTAATGTTGACTTCGCATTAATAAACCCCCCCCCCCCTTCATTGATCAATCTCTCCGGCCAGGGCCTCCTCAATAATGTTCGCCTAAATCCTGGTAGGACGTACTATTAGTTTTAGTATTAGGTAGTAGCACCACGCCCGTAAAAACCGGATTTCCCGGGTCGGATTTTACAATTGTGGCGGGTTACAATATTGTGTTCCGGCAGCGGGATTTTACAATTGCGGCGGGAATCACTAATGTGAAGTCAACATTAGGTGACTTAGGTGCTAGGGTTGTCGTAAACGGATAGGGTTTAAGGATTTGTTGAGGCTCAGGGTTTGCGGCGGGAGTAGTGTGTGCTTCGGGTTTAGGGTGCATCGTATTGCATTGCTCAGGGTCGACGCTATGGTATTTTGGGCTTCGTACTCGTAGGAGATTATCAGGAGATAGGTCTGCAAGTTGCGTTTATGTTGCCACGTCCAAGCTAAGTCAAGAACCCTACATGTTCCGAGTGGTTTTAGGGCTTGGGAAGCTACAAGAATTACATTTGTTTATGGGGTGCATGTCTAATGTAGAAGCTTCACTAGGGTTCCTTATTGTAAGTACAGTATACCCTATTCCAACGATTAAGGCCCCCATGTTAGCTTGGAGCAATTGGGCAAGTTCTCTCTTAGAGTTGATTGCGAATCCGGGATTGCAGGCGTGCGGAACACTCTTCAGGGTTTAGGGGCTTAGGGTCGCTGATATAGGGTTTCCCAAGACTTGCAAGAATCCCAGTCCTCTGACTGGTGCATGGGATGTCTGGGTTGCATAGTGAACTTATGATTCTATAGGGCGGAAAAAGTTTTGGTACCTTTACGGCTTGGGCAGGTTGGTGAGGTGCTATTGTATGAAAAGCATAACTTCGCTGTGGCTGTCCGGGCTCACAGATCTGAGTGTGCCAGGCGGGCACACAGTCAGGAGCACCAGGAGGGTGCTAGTAGAAAGGAAGCCTGGAGGGGCTTCCTTTTTCTTCAGGTTGCCTACCTGTTGTAGGCCCCACCTTTCTGCCAGTCAGGCTGCATCCTTCGAGCCATGGACCTCAGACGTTTGGACGTGGCCAGACAGGAGGCTCTGGCGCTGGATACCTGGATGCAAAGCAATGGGCTCGAGGATGAATCCGACCTGGCGTTCTTCTTCGACAACTATGCCACCGCTCTGCAAGAAGGGGGTCGCCCTGTAGCAGAAGCCTGGCAGGCAGCCAGAGCTAGAGCAGAGGCCATGATGCCTGGAGTGGGCAGACGGATGGTCATGGTCGAAGATGCTTTGGTTACTCAGCAGATGGCCAGTCAGGCTGCCGCAGCCAGTCGGGCTGAGCGGTCTCAGCCCTCGAGGCCCCAACGTTCCAGGAGCCCGCGACGACGAGCACGGGAGCGTGAAGTTGGCAAGCCTCTTCGGTCACAGGAGGTGGAGCGGGAGGCAACTACTGGGGAGGTGGAAGACATGAGCAACCGCACCTTTGCCATGTTCTTGGCCTTGTCGAGGCACAGGCCCTCCTCTACCTTGTCCTTACCAAAGGGCGAGCAGAGGGCCAACCTGCAAGAACTTTGTTGGAGCGAACGGAACCGCCCACTTTGCGAAGAGCACTGCGAACTTACGATGAGCTGCGAATGTGGGCAGCTGGCCTTGGGGAGTCGCCCCTTGGCTTGTCTGCTCACCACTTTCCGTCTTTCACAAGGAGCAGCCAGGGGCCTAAGCGAGCGGCGGTGGCCTTGCGGTGGATCCGCAAGAACTTGGAGGTGGACTGGGACCTTGGCTTGCTCCCCAGGCCCAAGGCCAAGGGCGACAGGTATGGGCAGGGTGCGCGGCAGGCGGCCGTGCTTGTCCCCTTGCTCATCCGTTCCTTGAATACGTATTTGGGGGCCGAGGACCCAACCACGCCTGATTGGGCAGTGCTCTTCGGTGCCTATGCCATGGTCTTTGGCTGCGTCAGGTTCCGACACCTTCAGCGATCCAGGCTGGTTAGCTTCAGCGGCTCGGTCCTAAACTTCTGGTGTTCCAAGGGCAAGACCATCGGCCAGCGCAACGGCTTCCGATGGAGCCTGCCCCGCTACACCTCGCATGGGGTTGACCTGGCCGTAGTGTTCCAGAAGTCCCGAGCTAAGGTCCGCCAGGATAACGTCATGAACTTTGCACTGGTGGCAATGCCCTCTGGCAAGATTGGTGTCCACGCCTTCCAGATGAGGCTCCGCGCGGTGTTGCATGCCATGCTGAACAAGCCGGAGCAGTTGGTCACCTACAGCCTACGTAGAGTCAATGCCACGGCGGCCGGGATGGCCGAGCTGGGAGAGCCTGACAGGCTCGCGCTTGGGGGGTGGCAGGATGCCGGTAAGGTTAAGAGCACCCCCTTTCGGTACGATGCGGCAAGGGCGACGCGCGAAATCCACTTGAAGCTGGCTATGCACAACACCCTCCTGAGCACTGAAGCTGAGACATGGGAGGAGCTTCAGGCAACCGGCTATCCGCAGGTGTTTGCTGCTTCGTTGCGGGAGGCCCAGGGCAAGGACCAAACGCTGCAGTGGCGCGACCCTCAGTTCACATCTTCCCCGTTGCTCTCCGTGGCGGTAAAGGCGTCATGGCTGGCGCCAAGAAGAGGACGACGTGCTCTAACCGGGAGTCGCCCGGCTGAGCCTGCCGGAGTCACCGGCCAGCGAGTCTCCAGTCAGGAAATGCGTGACTACCAGCACAGGCCCGTCGCGCCGGCCACGACCGCCAAAAAGATGGCCAAGCAGAAGTCTAGGCCCCTGACCAAGCGGGCGCCCCAGAAGCCAGCCAGCCAGGCGGTCAACGTGGTTCTCAAGCAAGGGCCGGGCAGTCCGCGCGGCCCGCCGGAGGCTCCGGCAGAAGCAGCGCCAGTCAGGCGCGGGTCCAGTCAGGACCTTGACAAGGCGTTCGACGCACTGGCAGGCCGTCGTGAAGATGTAGTGCCGGCCACGGTTTGCTATGCCATCACGTCGACGCCTGGAACGCTGCTCTCAGAGGACTCTGTTGTGGAGGCGGTTCTCCTGTTGGGAGGCATGCCTGCTTCCAACGACCCTGCTCTACGCCAGCACCGAGTTCGCCTCTTCGTCAGTGCCATGGACAGACTTGCCGACACCGTGCCCAGCCAGGTTCACGCCATCAAGGTCACGGTAAGCCATCAGGGGCGAGAACGGGCGGCCGCTTGGAAGGCAGCCCTGCACACAATCCGTTCCACCTTGGCCAACGGCGAGTCTGTTTTGGTTCACTGTGTGGCAGGCAAACACCGCTCTCCCATCTTAATGGCCACCTTTCTCGCGCAGTTTCGCCGGGTTCCCTTCGAAGAGGCCTACAAGTACGTGCAGGAGACACGGCAGGGGGTGGAACCGTGGAGAGTCCCAGCCAAAGTACATGCGTGGGCCGAGTCCACCTCTCACTCTTGGGTTTTCGACCAGCCCAAGATCCCCGGTAAGCCCCAGCTCCTTCGCAGTCGGCGGGGACACCGAGCATGGCACATGAGTTTCCCGCCGTTGCAGGAGGGAGGCCAGCCAGAACCCGTCTGCCTCTGGCGGCAGCGACCGACCTCGCATCGCAGTTCATTCCAAAGTGGTGTAGATGCGGCGGTGGATCCCTTCGAGGCGGCGGCCTACGGTGATACTGGGACGCTTGCGCTTTGCCCAACTTGCGCTTCGCTTTTCCCTGCATCTTGGATAGTGGCCCTCAAGGACATCACCGTGGTCGATAGCTGATGGGCTGGCGTTGTTTGCGCCGACAAGGTCCTGCCAAGGCCTAGCCTAGCCTTAGCCTGGTCAGGGCGGGCTTTTCTTTTGGGCCTGAATGGCCCCGCTGAGATCCGTCAGTCAGATGGAAAACAGGTCAGTGTGTGCGTGTTGTCAGATACCGCAGAACTGAGTTGTAGGGCATGGCATGCCTGCTGTCAGCTGGGTAGAGGGGCCTGTGTCGTAGGTCGTACACGCGCGCTGCCAGGCAGGTAGTAGGGCATGAGTCATAGGCTTTGACTTGCATGAGCTTCTCTCTCTGTGGCTTTTGCAGGTAGGAGACCTGTAGGACTGCAAGCTACACCTTCTCTTTCGACCCCCCCCACTTTCCTTCTCAGCTGCGCAGAGCTCAAACTGGTTAGCCCTTTTTCGTCTGGCCAGTGCCATGGACGCCAATAGCTTGGACGTCGCCAGCATGGACTTGGCCCAGCTCATGGCCTTGCTGCTTGCGGTCGTGCAGGAAGTCCATCGACGTCTTCAACTGCGTGGTTTCGGGGAGTCTCCTCGAGCGCTTCCAGCCTCGACTCCCCCGCCGTGCACTTGGCTATGTTGGTGCGGCCTCCCTTGTTGCAGAAATCCCTACGAAGACCACACTCATCACCGGTGTGAAGGGCACGAGGCCGAGAGATATCAACAACGCAGAGCTCTGAGACGGGGCGGCCGTTAGGAAGTAGCAGCTTCCAAGCGCTGTCTGCGCAAGCTAAAACAACGTAAGGCTGCGTGAGCGGTTGCCTGCCCGATGCCACGCTGCCAGCTGTTTGTTAAGTGTTTGTACAGTTTGGCTTGCTTGCCTAGACCTTGCAGTATGCCGGCCCCCCCTGCTCCTTTCACAGCCATGCAACGACCAGTCCCAGTCGAGAAGGAAACGGCCCAGGCCACCTTTGAGGAGCTGGGAAGGCAGTTCAAACTAGAAGAGCAGGTAGTCAAAAAGATCCTTGATGTGGGCATGACCTCCCTCGCCGAGTTTGCGCACTCCGTCAACAACGAAGAAGAGCTCAGCGGGGTCTACCATCAAGGCCTCACCCTCACCAACGAGCGAGTGCAGGTCTCCAGACTGAAGTATGCGTGGAACACGGTCAAAGCATACGAGAAGGTGATCGCCGACCAGGCAGTGTCCAAGGCGGTGACGCCTGACACAGCCGAGGAGGAGGACGCCCTCCTCCCCGCCAAAGACCTCCAGGGCCTCAAAGAGCAGTTTTGGCGTCGCCATAAGTTCTGCTTCGTGGCGGACCTGCAGCCCGCAGACCGCCTGGTCTCGCGGTGCTTCCGGGCGATGTCCAAGAGGCAGATGGAGGTCCTTGACTTGTCTAAGGTTCGCTCGCTCACCAACCAGCAGACTGTTGTCTCCAGGAAGCGCAAGGTGGGTGACAACCTGTACTTGGACGAAATGTTGGACCCCGACGCCAAGCTCACGGACATGGCCAGCTACCTCTTCAGCCTTGAAGTCTACCTCAACGCGCTGGCCATTGTGGGTGCCGGGGCGGTCCCGAGCCCTCCTACAGACCCGGAAGACATGGGTAGCGACCCCGCTCGCTATGTCATGGTTCCCTGGCAGCTCTTGGTCAAGTACCTTTACCGGGCCAAAGACCTGTCCACCAAGAACGGCATTTCCTTGACTTTCCTCCGCGATCTGGACCTCAAAGAACGAGCAGAATGGGCTTCCCGCTTCAACGGCCGCACGGACGCAAGCCTCGGGGTCGTCATCGGTGAGGTCTACGCTGAGAGGGCCCCGTTCTGGCAGGCGCCGGTCCACGTTCCCGCCCAGCATGGAGGCCAGAGCACGGGCGGGCCCCCTGCCAAGCAACCACGTGCAGGCGGCGGTTACAAGCTGGCGGCTACCCTTCGTGACGGCACCGCCCTCTGCCAGCAGTACCAAACCGGCGCCTGCCAGTACAAGGGTCGCGAGTGCCAGTCGGGCGCTCATCGCTGCGGGGTGTTGGCTACATCCGGGCGGGTGTGCGGAAGTTTCCAGCACATCCCGTCCAAGTGCGACATGAAGAACAAGGCTTGAAAGAGGGTGCCCCCCTCGCGCCACGCTCCAAAGGAGCCAGGAGCGGGGGAGGCGCCCCGCCATGCCACGGAGTCGCCGGGCAGGGGAGAGTTGCTCCCACACCACTGCTCGGAGTCGCCAACACCTTGTTTTTCCTTTTTACAGGGGCTGGACGGGCTGGAGGCCTGTCGTGAGCGCCCCTCGCCTGGAGATCCTGAAGGGATGCGGCGAGCAAACTCTGGTAGCCATGTAGCCAGTGTTGCTAAGTCGTTCGAGCCATGCCTTGAAGAGGTTGCACAGGGCTCGCTCACTCAATTTTCTCCTCTACTCCGTCTGGATTCGTTGCGCACGCAGTGTCAAAAGTCCTTCGCTTACAGCTCAAAACCTTTTTCCCAAGTGCCTGACTCTCAACCTGTGCTTTTACTTTTTGGCCAGCCCTTGTCGTCTTTCTGTGCTCAAGTTTTCAGGAGATGCGGGTGGGAGGTTGTTGGGCCCCCGCCCTGCCTTGTACAGGCCATCTCCTGCGCCCAGCCGGGGCCGGCGGTCATTGAGTCGCTTATGGAGTTTATCGGGGAGGTCACCTGCTCATTGGCCTGGATGGAAGACAGCACTTTTCAGCGTCCGTCCAGGTATCGGTCCGACTCGTGCCCGATCGACAACCCCATGGCCATGGGCAACCGGGCTTGGCAGGCCCGCGAGGCAGACAGCTTCACAGCTCAGGTTTTGCTGGTTCACGACCTCCTTTGCGCTCAGGGAAAGATCGTCTTCCGTGACGGCGTACACAATTCCATCAGATGGATGCTGCCGTGGGAAGCCAGCGACATCCGCGACAAATTTTTCGTGGACTTGATGTACGACCCCTGCGCCCTGTTCAGTGCCTGTGGCCGCAGGCGACGGCGACTGCGGAGTAATGCCCGGCAAATTCTGGCTCACCGTGGACTTCTTTGTGGCCACCTCCAGTCCACCTGCGACTTTTTGGATGAGGAGCCCGCGCCTGGGTGGTGCATACTCATGGCAAGGCTAGCCAGCCAGGCTACGCCAAAGCTGGCCACATGCCCAAGGATGCCTTGGACGGATACCTCCTCGGACAGGAGGTGGCTCACCGATGACACCTGTGGAACAACATCGACGCTCATGGCAGAGGCAGTCAGCCTCTATTCCGGGGTGCCAAGCAGCAGGTCAGACGTACCCGTCCGAGCGCAAGCCGACCAGGTCTACCGCAACTCAGATGACCTGCCCCATGACCACATCTATGTCGGTGCAGGGCACTTCTCTCACAGGTGGTTAACTACTTGCTGGCGGAACCCCTTCCTCCTGGGCAGGCACGGCAGCCACGCCGAGATTGCCATTCAATTTGCGTACGCCCTGCCCAGCCTGGGCCTCATTCCTGATCTGCATCAGCTCCGAGGCAAGACTTTGGTTTGCGACTGCCCGACAAACATCATTTGCCATGCGGATGTCCTTCGCGCAGCCTATGCCTTCTATGTCGTCGGAGGTAACAGCCGGGAGGCGCCCGGCTCGGAAGCGGCAAAGTTACTGGCAATGGCAGCTGGAGCTCGAGTGCTTGGACAAGCCCCCCTGTTTCTTTCGCAACAAACCATACAGGGCACCTTCATGAAAATGGCCTGGAGGGCCAACCCAGCGTCGCTTCCCTTTCCATTCATTGAGGACATCGTGAACTCGCCTTGTCTCACGCTCTGGCGTGGCTGGCGGATGAAGCAGAGCCCGTGGACATGGGGCCAGTGCCCGCCGAGATTTGTGTCGGCAGCAGAAAGGCCGGCTCTGCAGACGGCGTTAGGCTTCCAGGCGGGTGCAGGGCCGCACAGGGCGGCTAACCCCCCGCTCATCCCTTTCCACCTTGGCAAGTCAGGACACTTCGATCATGCCCTGCGACTCCGTCATGAGCCGACCCCTTTAGAGTGGGAACACATGATTGACCATGATCTTTATTTTGCGTCCGACTACATAGGGGCACACCTGGACACGGTTTCTGCAGTCCGTGCTGAAGTCATTAGCGCAATCAAGGAACTGGTCCATCGTTTGTCGGATGTGGACCGGCTTCTCAGGTCCAGGCAGGCCCCGGAAGTATATTCCGTGGTCAAGAACCGAAGCATTGCCATGGTGCCCATTCTCATGATGCTCGTGGAGTGGCCGGACGCTCAGTTTTTGGATTGCCTGCTCACGGGCTTCCCTGCAGTCGGGCTTTCGCCACAGGTCCCCGTCTTCGGGTTTCGAGACGCAATCCCGGCGGAACCCAGCGCCTCTGCTTGGCAGCAGCAGGTGCGACAGGTAGTCGCACGTGTGGCGCCTGGGCCGGATGACGATGTCATCCTGGAGGCTGGCCGCCATGATGAGGCAGCTGGTTTCTGCTCCCCGAGTTTCTCAGCAGGGGAACTGCTGGTTGGGGATCAGCCAGCCAGGCTGATACCGCGATTCTGCATCACGCAGGGGACGGGCAAGAAGCGAGTCATAGACGATGCAGCAGCAGGTGGACAAAGCGCAGCCAGCGAGGACCACAACAAGCTCGATCTCTGCACAGCTCTGCAACCGGGAGTCCATGCCCGCCTGCTGTGCTCGTCTTTGATGCGCAACGGTCACGACCCAGGAGAAGTCCGTATCCTCACAGGCGGTGAGGACCTGCCGGAGGCTTACAGGTTCACACCAATGGACCCGAAGGAGAGTTGGCAAACAGTGGTCGCCTATTGGGACCACGAAAAAGGCGAAGTGCGACTTCGCCGCTACTTCGGCCACCTCTTTGGATTGCCCAACGCTGTTACCAGCTTCAATCGGTATAGCAGATTCCTGCAGGCTGTCCTTAGGCGTCTCCTCATCATTTGTGGGAGCTTCTATTTTGATGATCTGTCTCTGCAAGACCCAGCACCCTCAGCTACCTCGGCACAGTCATCAGCCGGGGAACTGCTGCGCCTGCTCGGAACGCCTTTTGCAGCCGCCAAACGACAGCACATGGCAGAGGTTGGAG